CCTTTCATATTGCGGGTTGGTCGGCATAGTCATAAATAACTCGACGTGGTTGCGGTCCCCTACGCTGGGAAATGCCTTCATATTATGTCTTCCATGTTCTATGCAAAAAGTTTTATATAATCCCTTTGTTTTCTACATCTGTTTTTATTTCCATTATTTTGTATGGCTAGCCTTAGTAGCTTTTGGAAAATAAGTGCAAAGGGAAGTAATCCAACGGACATTTTCATTAAACGAAAGATGTACGGGACTTTAAACTTTCAACTGATGAAAAAATCTTACGAGTAAGAATTTTTACTTTAAGCATTTTTATGGCAATGGCAACCCGTTGTTTCGCCTTTAATTTATAACTACAATTGAAATTCACGGCGATTGTGTAATTGGTTCCAGTTTAAAGTGTGTAGTTTTCAAATCATATTAAATTATGTTCTTACGATAAGTATGATGTTTGACTAACTACTTGCATTTACGTGATGGAAATATTTAAACCATTACGCTCACAATGTGAATTTGTAAAGATAGCCAGGAGATTTGGCATTTCTAAGAGCAAACAGAGGTAGAATATCTAAAATGTATGGGATTGCGCAGTGGCGTTGAATCATAGGATCGCAGGCGCTCAGGGTCCGCAATTTAGCACCCACTCATGTGGAGATTCCCCGGCATTCCGGTATATTCTATCGAAAATCTAGCAAACATCGCAACTTCATACAGGTATGTTTTCATTGATAAACAAATTAAACCACTTTTATGTAGCATTTAGACTCATCAGGAAATGGGATAAACTAGAACAGAGCGCTGGTTTTTATTAATTATATTTTATTACATTGAAAACGCTAATTGGAAACCAAACAATAAAAACATAACGTTTATTTGTTTGTACAAACTCGTATATTTTGTTAATTTCAGTTCTTTAAGACCTACATGAATCCCAAATGTTTGATAACGAATGATATGCAAATTCAAGGGATTCTTTTTATTCAGTTAACTGTAACATTCGAACTAAATTTCGAACGAAATAAAATCCATAATGCATTGCAAGGTTTCATTATTATCTTACAATTAGAACATTTTACTCTATGGTAGTTACTGAGAACGTTAAATAAAATTGTCGGTTCGAATTCATATGCAATCTTCAAAATGTAAAATAATAATAATAATCCTTCTTCGACGCTTTATGAAAATAGTTGTTTTTGTTTTTTCTCTTAATTAATTTTAATCTTAAGTTGTATATATTTAATTTAGTAATATTTAGTTTTAATTTTTTTAAGTAATAGTTAGTTTTTAATTTAAGTTTTTTATTTGAATAAATGAATAACCTTTTCATCTTCAAAACAGAATGAACAAAATCGGCAGTGCACCGACGACGGGATAGGTACAACAGACAGTTAAGTTCAGGTGGGCCGCTAGCCGCTATCCCAGTACAGACAAAGTTAATTGGGGAATACGAGCATTCGTTTGTTGTGCTCAAAGATACAAGAACTATCAATTAATAGCATGTTCACCGTAATAGTCACCCATTTCAACACTTACCCCTAAACTGTAAATGGTATTAAGTCTTAAGTACGGCTCAGAACTATAGTTCCGCATTCAACTCGTTTAATTAATTTTCACCGAAGTCTGATAATTACAGATCCGTCTAAGAAAATGTTTTATTTTAATGCGCTTACGTAGCGCGGCGTCGCTCGCAGTAAAATTTAAAAATTAAATTCGTAACTGACGCCGACGTGCGGTGGCGTGGGAGATTTAGTTTTTTATTATTTTTTATCTAGGGAATCGCGCTGCGTGCAAACTGCATGTCACCTTTAATGGTATATTTTTATTTGCCCTGCCCCAATATTTGTCTTTTCCGTTCGCCCGTGTAATATCTGGTACCACTAAAAAAGTTGTACCTACACGTATCGTCAGAAATGTTTTAATATGAATCATAATAATAAAAATTGAACGCAGTAATCTCGCAGCAGACGTTGGGGCCGATTTAAATGGATATTTTACTGGAGAACGGCCAAGAATCCTAGTGGCCAAGTACATACATTGAAGGATTGATGAAATCTTGCGAGCCAGTGAGACATAGCTGTTGATTAAGTAGATTCGCGCGGCCGCTTCGAACTGTTACCTATTATCTGTATAAGTGCCTAATTAGGAACTGAGTCATCACTTTGCGGAGGTGTTTACGTACTGTATGGTCGTATTGTTGGAAGTCATCTTTGCCCCATTACGGCAATTACAGTGTCTGCATAACAAACATGTATTGGATGTAATTGCGCTCGATGCATTGAAAAGATTCGACTTTTTCTAAAACGAGTTTCGCCCAAGGTTGATTCAAAGAAGTAGGTAACTACCGTTAATAAAAAAATTGTATTGTCAAGGTTATGAGGTGCTTTGATGTTTGTGAATATTTTAGTTTGGTTCTTATTGAACTAAAGACCTCTTTGTGAATTAAAAGTCATTCTTAAGCAGTCTTATGAATGATTTTTGCTTCCAAGATATATTATGTGGTACTTATTGCTGTGTGTATTTTTGGATAGCCCATTCTGATATACTAGAAAATTGTGTACGTAAATGCGATGTTTCGAAGTTTAATTGTGTGCTTATGTTTTTTCTTAGTTATGAGAGAGTGTGAAGGACAACAATGTGATGTAAAGATTATCTTCTTTCTCCTGAAAAATCAGTTAAAATTACAACTTAAAGGTAACAAGAAGCGGTTTGTTAATAAAAAAAATAGGTCTATAAAAAATTAAGATAACAAAAAAGTATATATGGCTGAAAAAAAAACTGGACAGCGGAGAAATTTGAAAAAGGAATAAATGGCCAGTTTCAAAATAAAAATAAAGTTAAGTATAGAATGTTGCACTGACTTGGTTTGTTATAGTTCTGAGGAGATGCATTGTAGAAATAGCAGTAGACCCCAAATGCCAGGACAAATAGCAGCAGCAGCAGGATCCGGGTAGAAAATGGCCGGCAACGAAGGACACGGGTCCTCATTGTGTAATCTGCAAATAATTCATATTTTAATATGTGTTCATATTTCAACCTTAAATTAAACCTACTTAAACTAAAATTTCCATTTAACAAAAATCACGAAACACCATCTTTTTTTATGTACTTTTATCCTACATGGTCAAAAAAACTGTAATCCTAAAGGAAAAAGTTTATACAACTATAGAAACTCGTGCCAAACTTTTTAGACTGACGAAAATACTATCTACCTTTCTCAAAATTAAAGGAATACATTTGAAATTGTTGTTTTTGATGAGAAAGATAGAAAAATTAGGCCTAATCTAATTATTTTTATTAAATTCGTTGCAACAAACATAAAAATATCAACTTTGTGCCTTATCAAACTACCTACACCATCTGACAAAATGAAGTTCAATTCCCAAATCCACTGTTAATCTCAAGTGACAGCTAAATTGTTTAATGTAAACAGTGACGCTGTGACGCTTCGTTATTCGCGAAAGCAATGATAATAAATTCTAAAAGTCACTTACAAATTAATTCTAGTTAGTGACAATAGAATTATATTACTCGTAAATTAAAATCTTACAAAAACATTTTCAAAGAAACTAAAAAAAAACAATTTACGTAAGACAGTCCAATTTTTATTATTTTATGCCGCAAATCACACTAGCGTAGGTAGTTCAAACTTCATATAAATAAACCCAATTTAACTCAAAACTTAAATCTCAAAACTAAAACCAAAAGTTCGTACACAAAAAAGTGACAGCTTTAAAAAAAATATTGGTTCTTCTTCAATCGACTTTGCGTAAACAGTAAACAGCGAAGATGCGGCAAACACTTCAAACTACTTTAAATAAATTAACTCACATTTTTTATGTCACGATTTTTTTAAAACAATGTTTACATTTTATTTTACTCCCAATAAAGTCAATTATTTATTTATCTGCAGTGTAAGTTATCGGCTCACACTTGCATGCGACAGCCAAACACCACAGCGTGCTCCCAACCCACGGCTGCGATACCGATTGGCCGGAATGGCAGCAGAGTAATGGCAACTCGCTCGCTGTGTTGCCAGCTGTGCGGGCATGTCCTACCATACTACCATCGCAATTGACATTGGCAGTTTGACATATCTAAAATTTTCAAATTTGCGTGATACGGAATGTACGATGATTACAATAGTAAAACATCTGGAATGAATATATTTAAAAACATTGGAATCTACCACTTTAAAGTGTTTCGAAGTATACCTATGATGTGTTATGAAATTTATAACCAGTTTTAGACTTTTTGAAACTGACAGCAGCGCCACCCCGAGATTGAACGGTAAAGGTTAACTTCTAAATACATGATTACTTCTATATTCTTACGCCTTAGAGTTTAAATTATAAGGAATCAGCCGAAACAAATAACTATTTATACAAAAGAACCCTTATATCTGCATAAAGTTATACGATTTTTTTACATATTTTTCGCAATATTCTCTTTGTGTTAAAGTTACCCAGCAACCGGAACGTTTACGTCAACGTCATCGGATTGAATTATGACTTTTAGGGATACCAGACCACAAAAAAATTTAAGAAGCTAATGAAATTAATTCGAAATTATAAAAACTTTGTGATTGTGTTCTTTTAATTTCTGACCATTTTATTTAGTACATTACAGATGAATTTAAATTTAAGTGACAAAAATTAAAGATAGGTGCATTTTATTTTAAAAATATATTTAAAGCTTGCGGTGCTATAATTTATAAAGGCTCGAAGACTGATAATAGCAATTTGTTGGTTGATTATCATAATAATCATTTTTATAAATATTTTTATAACAATTATGCCAATATGAAAATGTTTAACAAACAATGTACAAAATACTATTATCGTAACCATCTCGAAAACAGCTGGAACGTAGAAAACTAAACTTGTTGTTTATAGGTAGATTTGTGGTTAGTTTTATATCAGTGCACTGATCGCGACTCAATCTGTCGTTTGCTAAGACGGCTGCAAACTGTGTTTGGATTAATAGTAATTGTTTGTTTCAATTTAATCATGAAATATAACGAACTCGGTAAAACAGGACTTAAAGTATCTCATGTTAGTTTGGGAGGCGCTGCGTTTAGTAATATTTACGGGTAATTATATTCATAATTAATACGAAATAAATGTTTAAAAATTAAATGTTTATATTTCGTGGCGTTACTGTCGTTTTTATTTGTGTGTAGGTACAAAATGTAGATAGGAATTTCGTCCGATTTATAAAGTGGCAATGACGAATTTTGTTATGTTTGTTGTCCGGCGCAGTTGTTATCACACCTATGCATATATGTACCTATAGATCTACTAAGTTCATAGGTATTATTGTTTACATTTTTTTGTTATCCGTGTTTATTTTAAACTCGTCCTGGTGAGCCAGTGATGTGGCAACTCGAGTTACTTTTTAATTTTTTGACAGTAGCGGTTTTGCCGTGACTTTGTATTCGATTTTCTGAAACAGCTCTTTACGGTCAAGGTCACATTATATAGATCGTTGACATTGATTATGTTCACTTGGTCACGACACGAACGCTCGCGACTAGTTGATTATTTCAACACATTGTTCTTTGGCGCCTAACTACCTATATGAAACATTGTTTCTTTAATTAAGCAATGCTATCTATATATTTAATTCTACATACTGCGTTACAAACCACATTAGTATCGTCATTTTTTTATTGAACGTTATCGAGAAAAGTTATTTTTTTTGTTGATTGTTTAATTAATTGTTTTTGTATTTTGATATTTAGGTACTGCTTTTGTATTGTTAATTCGTACCCTTATTAACTCTTCGAGTACCGGTTTTATAGACACAATTAAAGAACAATAGGTCGCGGTCACCGGTGACCGCTTGGTGTTTGACAGTTTAACCTACCTATAACTATTATACCTAGCTATAGGTACCTATAGTAGTTAGCCCAAGCGACTAACGCAGGAGGGACTTTCCCGTCGAAATTATCTGAATAAAATTTAGATAGATAAAAGGTACCTACATAGTACATGAAGTACCTATATAGATATTTGTTTGTTCAAATTGGACATCGCAAGGTGAACGACTACCTAAAGAACTAGAATACCTACATTTTAAATCATATTGTTTACGAACTGAAGAGTTAAAAACCGCAATGTATTATAGGTACCTAAGTACCTATTTATAATTATTATACCATTACCATTAGTTATCGCATATTAATACGAAATACTTATCTGGTTTACCTACCTTGTTATATTATGTAATCTAATATTTATTTTTCCTAAAATAGGTACCTATGTATAATGACAAAAGACCGACAATTTAACGTTATCCATATTATAGCGAGATAAACCAAGTAGAGGTATATAAATACATAGATATGTGTAGTTAGTTAATAAATGAAGATAAAACGATTACCAAGTTAAATAGTTATGTAATGAAATATTGTGGGCGGTGATAAAGTATGATAAAAGTATCTCAAGTGTGGTAGGTATCTTTAAAATACTAATTTTAACGATGTTCTCTACAACTGTTGAAAACATCGAGTACTACCTACCTACCTACTTGCTTGTATTCATTAAGTATTTTTATTGTATTTGTCTATTAACTATCAATAGGTAATGTAATTTTTGTGCAAAGTCTAGATTTTATTATTGGTATTTTTCCTCAATGGCGGTTTCATCTTGTTAGGTACTTAGTGGCTCTGTAGCAGGATTTCCTTATTCTAGTTTGTTACAAAATTACGTAACAAACCACAGAAGTATTAAAAATTACTTATTATATCTATGTAACAAACACTGAGAGTAAACGCAGTAGAAACCACAAGGAAACCTACCAAATCTTCTAATTCTATCGTACCTACTTAATTTGTAACTCTTAACCCGTGGTATGGACGCAGATCTACGCGAGACTCCATATTTTCTATTGAATCTCATATACGCCAAAATAAGAGGTTAAAATGTTTAATCAACAACAACAACCTACCTAAATCTTAATTCTCGACTCAATACAAACATTTAGACTATTTTAGACTGACATAACATAATACATCATGGATTAGCTGTACCAATACAACTGTGGGTTTCATAGAACTGACACAATCAGAGCATTTACAGCTAAACAATCAACAAGCTTGTACTAAACTTACCGAGATAAGTCCACAAATTGGTACGAGTAACAAGAGACGCGCATCGATTTTAGTAATCGAGTGCACAAAGCATTCGAATAGCAAACTATTCAACTAACGGCAGGTGTGAATAATCTGTCAGCCCTCCATTTGTCGGCGGCCGGGTGAGCTCAGATTGCCTGGGTTACCCACACACCCCTACAAAGTTCCCCTTCATCCATGTGACAATACTGCACTCTGCAGCTCGCCGAAAACAAAATAAGTAATAACAAAACGTTATTACATTCCTCCAAAGTTGTCGTTTGTAGTACTCGTCCATATAAAAACAACACCAGTTTTCAGATTAAAAGTTTATTTTTCAATCAACAGATAAGCTGTGTACGCCCGATTCAAACCATGAGTGACTTTTGTCTGATTGATGACAATATCAAAAATAAATTGAATATGATCCCTCCATTTTATTGTTTCACGTTTCTATGAACTATCTATGAACTTATAGTCACAATTCACTATTTGAAAAAGTGTTTTTTTTTACAAAGTTATTGTTTTAGGATTGAGGACTTTAAAAAAACCTAGTACTTACCTAAAGTTTTAATTATCTACTTGTCTTGATAATTGCAGTGTCTGCGACATTCGCGAAAAGCAGAAGAGCGCTTTGTTAATTGAAGTAATTAGTACAGTTTTATATTAATTTAGACTAGTTTCAGTAGAGTAGACGCTTAGCTGCTTTAATAAGAGCCTTGTAGCATTCTACGTAATTATAATCAGCAGGTGCAAACCTGATATTTAATACTTAAACTGGGAAAGGTCTACTTAGCTATACAGTCCTTATCACAAAGAAGGAAATTAGAAACAATAGCTAGAAAAACGTATCAAAATGAAATTGCTTTTAACTATTATTTTAGGGTACCTAATTGGTTGTGGATTTTCTTTAATCTTTATCTCTCAATCTGAAGTAGCTGAAAATCTGCTGACTTATATATTGTATAAATATATTTGAAGCTTTTACATTGTTCGGTCAAATATTTTGTAGAGCACAATTCCAAAGTTGTTAGTATATATGTATAGTATGTTACTTATAGCTACGAGTAGTTTATAACTACGCACCTATATCTATTATTTGAATAATTATTTTCATATATCATGTTTCAGAGCGTTTGATGAAGAAAAGGGTCTGGAATTAATAAGAGAAACCCTCAAATGTGGTGTTAATTACATTGAGACCGGCCCCTGGTATGGATCGGGGACTTCTGAACGAACTATTGGAAAGGTAACACACACTTTACTATAAACTAAATCCTTATAGCAATTTTAACCTCTCTTAGTTTCTAAAAAGTCTGAGTTTGAGTACTTATACCACATATATTATAAGTTATCATTTAACCTGCAATTTGACCTATTGATAAATGCTCTTGAAAATTGTCTTGGACGAAAGTATAAAATAAAATATTTATAAAAGCAACACAGCATCTGGCCTAGTAACATTGACTCACTATTGTCGAATTACTTTAGATATCTGGGAACGTTAAAACATTATAAATGTATAGAATGAACCACTGAACCATGATCCAAGTTGAATACTAGGTACCTACGGACCTGAGAACGTAAAATAATGGGCAAGATTAATTATGAATTGTTGCATTAAATGAAATAGATAGGTATTTTTTTTTAAGGGGGGAAAATCATCGAATGACTGCTCCCGCCTGGGTGAGGCGGAAGGAAGTGTCAGACTCTTACTGACTAAAAACCACCCCGTTCCTTCTCCTGCACGTCGAGCCGGAGCCCCGGTTACCCGTTAGGTTCTCCGCGACAAATAGATAGATATAGAACTGATTTTAGTATCTACTAGTAAAACATAGTACACTGCGCGTGGCATGTCATTACTTAATATCCGATGTTAGTAATAATGCCTAGTGGATTTGATTATTACTAACATCGGATTTTAACAGATGACAATATTAGCATGCTTGAAAAGACTGATGACAGCTGAGAAAGCGATAGAGGTATGTCAGAATCGTAGCAATTGGCGTCCCATATTCTCTGCATACGGAGACATGCCACGGGAGTCAGGCGTATTTTTATATTATACATTATTAATGAACAATAAAGTATAGATACCAGATCTAACAACGTAAAAATCAATCGAATCAGTAAAATAATGAAATTACCATTAAACTAGGATCATGGTATAAAGGCGCTCAAAAAATATGAAAGGAAATGCGTTGCTAAGCGCCTCGAGACTTTAGAAGGATTAGTTCAATTGGGATTTTTTAAACCGAAGAAAGAAAAATTGAAAAATTCACCAGAATAAATTATACCATCATTTTGGTTTAAATTAGCTAGATAAAACTTAGACTTCTAACACCAAAGTAAATCGCTGAGAACCGTTAGGTTCTCGTGGGTTACCGTGGCTCCGGCTCGAAGCGCAGGAGAAGGAACGGGGTGGTTTTTAGTCAGTAAGAGTCTGACACTCCCTCCCGCCTCACCCAGGGTCCTTACTCTTGAATCCAATTCCGATCGATCGACATTGGTATTGTGAAATTTCGTACTCTTGAGTCCCAACACTAGCGCCCATTGCATCCGTATTGCGTGGATATTTAATGAACTAAACGGTATTGTTGTATAGTGTCGACATTGAATAATTATTGAGATTTTATTGGATTGACATTGAGATTGGTTTCAAGAGTAAGCACCCAGGTGGGAGCAATCATTCGATGAAATCCCCCCTTAAAAAAAATCATAAGAGAGAAATGGCTAAATAAGCATTTAGTCAAAATCATTGAAAGATCAATAATAACTCAAACAGCCATTCAGTACAGTAAGATTAAAACTAGATTGTCCTGTAGCAGGTGCGGTCCTGGAAAAGCACTTAAAACACATAATAGAGCTTGGAAAAAAGATCCTGCAAAAGCGTTTGATAGCATTCAACACGACGTCCACGACCCTAGTCTATTGAATATTTGCCACGACGTCAAGTAACTATAAATTTCTCTTTAGACTTTAGTACACGGCTTTATTTACACTTTCAGTTCCAATATTGCTCATTTAAGAGAAATATTTTATAAATGAAGTGTTTTAAGAAGGTATCCCGCTAGGTTTAGTGTTGGGTGAAGTTTCTATATTACTGTAGTACTTGTCATGTAGGTACTAAGAAGTGTGACCAAATGAATGAGTTGCTGAATGTGTACATTTAGAAATAGCTCAACTAAATATTGCACTCGCGTCACAAAGTAAAGTTAAACACACCTCTGGTGACTTAAGTATTATGACCTAGATACGATATAAAAAAATAATAGAAAAGATACTATAATAAACATGATGAACATCTTTCTATATTTTTGTACAATTTCTTATAATGTCTGTTTACTTATATTCAAAAACAATCGAATAGCGGCACTGTCTTAACAAACACAAACGCGATGTTTATCCCGAAAGACGAATGTTCAAAATCCGTTAGAAATAAGGGATATTCCCACGGAATAGAAAAAACAAAAGAACGTCTCAACTCGTAGTACGAACGTCATATAGAAAACTAATCTTAGTACGCAACGACGCGACATAGTGTAGTAAATAATAAATTAAAAAGTTAATTAAAATCCTTCATCAACCGATACACGGATACATGGTACAGTATTTATCAACGAATTTATATATAAAAAAATAAGTTTAAAGTCTAATGAAGAAATTTGAAAGAAAGGAGTAGTTTGACCTACTGGCGATATGCGCTTTTGTCCCATGGTCAGCACTTTGGTCTCACATTCTCCTAAGACCGGTAGAAACATCTTATAAAGAAGTTGAAAGCCTAGATTAAGTACAGACGTAGACTGGTCTCGTCCTTTATAATATCGAACTTAGCAAAAGAATTTTCGAGAATTGAAGTAGTGACTAGACTAGTCTCAATTCTCAAGCTTTAATAGATAGAGCTTAGTACTTACCCAAAATAATTTTCAGAGAATTTATCTCATTGCGAAAAGAAAATCAATGGTTTCTTGCATAAAAATTACAATTCTGTACACAGTTACCATTTTACTGTTAAACCTGTTAATAACTTAGGCTATTTGCTCATTCGTATGTACCTACATTTCGTTCGGCAGAATTTTATTCTACTAACAGACGTAAGAGATTAAAGTTTACTTTCGTTGTTAAGTGATGAAACAAATATTGTACGAATCCAAACGTAAATAAATTTTGGGAGTAACGTGTTCGAGTACTGTAGCTCTAGTGTGTCTAAAGTAGGTAGAGAGCGCAAACAGAATAGCGTGATTCTGGTCCTTGATTAACGAATTTGTAAATTTTCGCTGTTTTTCATCGAAGATATAGTGGTTATTAATTAAGCACGCTATGAATTCCATTATTGGTCAGTATAGACTAATATAAAGAATTTATTCGATATATATACTATTTTTAAGGAAAATTCTCTATATAATTATATACTTAATACATCATTATACATATATACTTAACAAATATAAACATTTTTATGGCATTTTGTGAAAATCAGAAGTGTAATTAATGTCCTCTATAGTCCAATTCCTCTCTTTATGACAACACAAAGGAGTCCTCCTTTAGAGGGCCTCATGACGTCTTCAATAACAAAAATTCTTTTCCTTAAATTAGTATCAATGACAATCAAGATTGATTTAATAATACAAGGCACTTTGTTACGCAGGCGTTGGTGGGAGTGCCAAGAGAGTCGTACTTTATTGGCAGCAAAGTGGGAAGGTATGAGCAGGCCACGGAGAGAATGTTTGACTTCTCCGCGGAGAAGACCGAGGCAGGAGTGGACAGTACCTTGAAACTACTCGGCTTGGACTATGTGGATTTGATACAGGTGAGAGTGAACGAGTTTTTAGAAATATGTTCCTGGTACTTTTATATGAGTACACGGTTTGTGTTGTACAGTTCTTCAACATTAGAGTTAGGAGGTTAAAAAAGGTAAGTAGGTCATCTGCCTTTAAAGGATAAGAATGCTAAACTGTTAATAGCTCATCTACGTTCTTGACAGGATAATAATGGTGTAATAGGAACTTAATCGGTGAAAGATTCTTTCCTTAAAGTAAGATATTTACTAACAGGATGATAGCACATTCATTAAATGACCAGCAACTACAGGGGAATGTATCACGAGCCTGATTTCCACAAAACATATTTGCAAACGCACCCACAATCTATGACGCGTATGCCTTCGCAAAAAGTTCACAAAGAAACCATGAGGGAAGGAGAACATCGTTGTTGATATGAACACGATCATCTTGGCAGTAAAGAAGTCAAGAGCATGGACGGCCATTCAAAATAATGGTTCCGGTCATCAATCAGGAGTTACAGAGGGGGCATGTAATGACCTCGTGGAGTGCAGATGAGAACTTGACCTTCCATTTGATGGATGTTTTGTTCTCGGCCAGTAAGCAGATGATTGATGCATTCATTATCTATGCAACGACGAACGACCAAACAGATAAACTTCTTAGTTTATAAACTACTAGCTTTTACCCACGGCTTCACTCGCGTCACAAAAGGATAAAAAGTAGCCTATGTGACATATACCAATACACACAGCGCCATCTATACCAATACGTTTTCTCTCGGGAATATCAATGTTTCTGGGATAAAAAGTACCCTATTATTTAATCCGGACTTCTAACTTTACTTCTGCAAAAATTCAAAGCAATCGGTTAAGTAGTTACGGCGTGAAAGCGGAACAAACAAACAAACTCACTTTCCGATTTATAATATTAGTAAGGATAGGAAAGCGAAGTTTCTGGAAATCCATTTTATTCTTTACTATCGACACCCTATCGGCTTGACACGAGTGCAATGCTGATATAATTTACGTCATCAAATTAGAAACATTTAAATTTATCAGTGTTTCTCTACTATATTATGTATGTATTATACATATAAACCTACCTTAAGAATCACTTTATCTATTAAAAAAACGCATCAAAATCCGTTGCGTAGTTTTAAAGATCTAAGCATACATAGGGACAGACAGACAGCGGATAGCGACCTTTGTTTTATACTATGTAGTGATAAACTATTTTGGAAGCGAAGTTTTTGGAAATCCATTTTTTCCTTTCTTTCTTTATTATCCCAAGTTTACTTTAATCTCAAGGGCACAATACGTCTCTATATTATAAACATATATTCAAATCCAAACTGTATTAACTTCTTTTTCTTTCATGTTATTCACTTAAATAGACCCTATTTTGTATATTTCCATTTCAAAGATGCTAATAACGTCATATACGAACATTCCATCTTTAAACTGTCAAACACCAAGCGGTCATCGGTGACCGCAACCTATTGTTCTATAATTGTGTCTATAATGACGGTACTCGACGAGTTAATAACATAACATTACGCCTTTAATCTCGAAAGGGTAGGCATAGGTGCACATTATGCCGCTTTACAATGTAACACCCACTTTTCACTATATATGTTATGAGTCCCATGTAATAGGGGATGAGCCTATTGCCATATACTGGACACAATTCCAGACTCCTTGCCCGGCAGTCACGCTTGCGACCACTCGGCAGATGAGGCAGCCATCTTTAATACTTATAATCAATTAATATATTACTTTGTCTTCACTATTGTTATCGTTTTACGCAGTACCTATTTTCTCTCAATACCACCGTTAAAGATATTTCTAAGACACCATCATTATCATACCTAGTTATTCTATTTGTCAATGTGAAACTATAACTGTACCAAATGTGGTTTCCGTGGACTGTCCACTTGTCTCTTCAATCGATTGCACTAAACTTCAGTCTCAAAGCGCCAAATGTTTCAAATTCATTTTAGTTCTGTGTAACTACATTGGGTCGTGCATTTCTAGGCCCGAGTTAACTGGTAAATATTTTACAAGTTTCCAGTTCGTGGTTTCCAGTTTGTTTGATAGAGGATCACACTTGACTAACATCATTATTATTTTGACCTAGTAATGCAGTTTGTTAAGTTCAGCCTCTCTCGTATTCAGTTTAAGCAATATTTTATTGGGTTGATAAACTCATACGTAAGATGGCCCTTGGAAGTACCTACTTAGGATTTTGCGGTGCAACAGGCACGTTCGTACATTGGAATTGGGAACAGCCAAATAGCAAAGTTTGTTACGTATAATGTAAGTATAGCTAAGTACACTGAGAAGTATTAAATTAAAATACTTATATAATTATACATACCTACCTTGTATTGTATTTCCTTCTTCTCTTATAATATCTTCTGGTTTATTTCGTTACGGGAACCAAGACAGGTATTCATGTCCCTGTGACGCGCCGGACTACAGTGTTCCGGTGTTTTTATGGTTGTATCTACAGTAGATCCTGGCTTGTAGGAGTTGCAGCGGAATTGGGAGGTTGTGGCGGGCTGAGGCCAACAAAATATCTACCTTGTATAATTACATTATATAGTAGCAAAATACCACTACTTAAATAACAATATGCCATCAGCTTTTCTCCATCTCTTAGTTATTATATATTATACGTACAGCAAAATAGTAACACTATTTTAAGATAAATATTAAATATTATTCAAGAGAAAGAACGTATGGACGCACCAGAATGTGTAAATATTTTACATATTTAGATATTTGGTAGGTATTTCATAAATGCATAGTATTCGAAGAAATCCAAATCGGACTAGATACTATCTACTGAAATGAAAGACAGAAATATTTCTGTATCTAGGAATAGAAATTTACGAGTATTTGGAATATTTAATAGAAATGTAAAATGTATGAAAATGCCACGACGCCGTAACGTGCTTAACTGACTAAATGAATTCCTTAGACTCTAAGAACATTGGTATGAAAGCCATTCATGTTTCGTTGCAAAGATCTAGTTTATGGAAATTTTAGTTTATGTACACTTTCGAAGGTTTGTGAGGAAATTTTTAGGTAAATATGTAAGTATATTTATTGTAAATGAAATGCTTCGTTTGTTGGAATCATAAGAATTTAGTTATCATAAACATATAACATGTCACAATAAAATCAACGTTAAGAAAATAATGCTACACTTGAAATTGTTATTCTCATTATTCTTTCTTACATAATACACCCAGATTATCTTTGCATCTACATAATCTGCAATCGGCTTTGCAAGTTAATGATCACTTCAGTATTTGCGCGGTAACATCGAACATCGAATCCCAAGTGCATGGAAGCAATATCCGATAGAATAAAAAAGAAAAACTTAAGTACTAAAGTCGCATCTGAAAGGAGTAGGTGTAGGGGTCCCTCAGTGAACGTAATAGGTACTTAGAACACTTAAGCCTTCAGATTGTTGCCGACCAGACAGAAAAATCCTACAATATTCTCTTATTGCATTTCACATTTTCGCCGTGCACGTAATCGCCTTTATTTTCCCATCCTTATTCTTCTCAATCTGTTCTCTTTTTCCTTTCTTTCACTGTGCCGGCTTATAGCGATTACACAGGTCGTTTAATTAATTGAAATACTTTTCCGAAACTTTTTAAAGGAGGTGTTTTTTGTAAAGTATTTACTTGGTCTACAAAGATAAGGAAATGAGTTCGATGCTTCCATTTTTATTTTTAGGGCTCCTTGCTAAAGGGTATATTGAAAATGGCAACGGTAAAAAACAGTCATATATTCCAAATCCATGCATATAGAGAGCAATTTCATTACTCAATACTCAATACGTTTATTGCACTCCATATGTTTATAAGGTGTTACATAATAATATAGTACAGTATGGACCCTGTAGGGCACGGCAACGTAGAAGAGAGGAGGACGCTAATTTTATTTAGATTATGTATCGCAGATTTTTTATTACTAGTTATAAGTAGTTAGTCATTATCATTACCAATACCCAGCCAGAATTTTGCAATCAAAAATCCTATTACACCTACATACGTTATTCCTTTGCCGGCAGTCGCAACTCCTTCAATTAACCAGTAAGTTGATACTCGAACGATATTGCAACTGTCCACTCATTTTCTGTCCTCTCTCTAATTCGTAAAATGAGAGACATATTGGGAAGGCACAAAATTGGCACCAAACATGAGCAGTGACCATCGATTCAAGTGTCTCTGCTTTGATCTGTTAGCAGTTGACTAGTTACAAACAGGCTGTAATAAATTTGGCACGGTGCAGTGTGATATATCCTATCTGGATCTAGATAGGTACTTGCCGTCGGCCCTGACTGTCCTGTTGTACCTACATAAGTGTGCCACATAGGTAGGTACTGTCTGTTGTGTATGTATTGGTTTGATACAATGTCAAGTAACTCTAGAAAAATTATGAAAGGTAGTTAAGATTAATCATATCCACAATTTTTATATCTTTATTAATGTAATAACTACTTATCAGTCTCCAAAAATACTTAATCAGACTGATTACAGACATAATAATTCATTTCATTTACCAATATAGCAGCACAGGAAAGTCTTAATTATAGCCACAAGGAATGCAATCTTCTATATATACTATTTCGCAAATGATTTCAGAGACAAATCGTCAACCCTATTTTGATCGACGTGTCTAGCTGTACCTACCTATCTATAGGGAAGTTACACGCTCCCCTGCCTTTTCGAACCTCACACAAGAGCTAGGGTTCCCAGAACGGGAATTCCTCTCACACCTGATCAGTTTTTCATTCGATTGCAACGGCAGGCGGCGATGAGAATGTGATCGCCAAAAAGTGCCTTCAGTTCAGCCACTTTGAAATTTGTCTGTACCACTCGTTCTATAGTCACGACTTTTATTCATCCATTTTTCCGACATTGTTCTCTCTGTGTGTATAGTGTATGGTTTTTGGAACAAATATCCGATATTTTTGAGATGTTTTTTTAGAAATAGAAGTTGTCTGTTGTTTGTGTTTGGATTCAGCCTCTTTACCAATTCAAAACTAATTAAACAAAGAGTTCCTGAAATACATAGGTAGGTAATGTTTTTTTCTGTCACACAGGTTGATTGGTTGTTTCCTTTAAGTTAACATAACCTAACTCCAAACATTTAAATATGTGAATAAACAGGCATAATGTAGTAGATCATTGTATTCACGTTTATCTATGGGCCTATGGGTAACTATAAGAGAGCGTTACCTACCCGTTACTCCTCTAGGGAGTATCATGTTCAACATGCTGCACATTGCTCAGGAATGGCAACACGGCGACTTGTTGCTAAGTTAAGATAAATCACAGGAACTTCGTACCGCGATCTAACCAGAACACGATACTTGCTAAATAGTTTGCTGCACTTCGGAGTTCGGTCGTCTATCACACAATCACTCGACTAAAAGCATGCCACCCTACTCTCATGCCATACACATGTTTCATTTCCATTTCGCTTCGTAGCGAACCACGGACAAAGCCATTGGAACAATCAAACAGAGGATTTAGATTCGTATCTATTTATTCAACATTTCATGAAATTAATTGCTGAAAATGTTTTTGTATTACCCGCACCTTCATTTGCGTATGAAAACGTTTTTCAGGTAAATTTCACTGAAAATACAAAGTAGAGTAGCGATTGGATAAATTGAGCGGCTAACCGACTATTGTGTCAAAACTCGGGTTCGCACATCACTTGTGTACGTGGAATTTTTGTTTCAAGGGAATTATGTATTTGACACAAAATGCGTTTAATTATTTCATAACATTCAATTTGCGTGTTTTCGTTGTAATTTAATTAAATAGGTAAAGAATTTCGATTTAAATGCAATCATATATATTTATTGTTTTTAGCATTTATTGGAAATTGTTTTCGACAATTTTAGCTCCGACCAATATGTCATCAATAAATTGCAATGGATGATAATATTTTACGTTAATTTAGGTCGTTTTGGCTAAATCGACGTTAGTATGATGGACATAAAAAATAGTGTTTTTTTATCGTATAAGCCGGTAAACGAGCAGACGGATCACCTGATGGTAAGCAATCGTCGCCCCCCATGGACACCTGAAACACCGAGGCGTTTCAAGTGCGAAACCGGCCTTTTGGGAATTGGAAATTTGAGGATTGTGGAGGATTCGGGAATTGGGGAGACTGTCGTAATAGGGCCTCCGGTAACCTCACTCACACGACGAAATACAACGTATACGTTGTTTCACGTCGATTTTCTGTGAGGCCGTGGTATCACTCCGGTCGAGCCGGCCCATGCGTGCCGAAGCACGACCCTCCCACACTTAAATTGTTTACTTTACTTAAATTGTTGTTTGTATTACAAGGTATTATTTAGTTATTGAAGTACTTTTTATAAAAGGATAATTTAACCTGAGATTTTCTGCTTAGATTGCTTAGAAAGATCTGTCTCCCGCACCCGCACCGTACCTATGTAGGTATATACATAAACCTTACCTATTTGTATGGCGTGCAACGCTACGCAAGTGGTTGCTCGATTCTGTGTAACTTGTACGAACGAATGTGGAACGGAAAATGTAATTTTATTTTAACACAGACTTTTATAAAGGCATATAATAATTTCAACGAAGAAGATTTTTCTGCATAAGTAATTATAGAATCCAAAACATAAAATCACGTCTTTTATCTCCGACATGGTAGGCAGAGGTGCACATTACGGCGCTTAATACCACTGTACCTACAATGTAACACCCACTTTTCAAATACTTAGTGAAAAGTGTGTGTTACAATGTACAGTGGCATTAAGTGCCGTAATGTACACCTCTGCCCACTCCTTCGGGAATAAAAGGCGTCATGTTATATTATGTTATGTTTTGTTATAAAACTTGTTTTTTACCATCACCTGTCGGCGTTCGGGAGCGTTTCGTTTACACCCCGTATCTATGGTACTTAATAAGGCTACTTATTACAGGTACACGATTGCACCTTCGCACCAGACATATCCATCGTGCTGAAAGAAACCCTCCCAGTGCTTGAGAGAGCAGTGAGGGACGGCAAGGCCCGATACATAGGCCTCGCAGACTACGACATAGACCTCATGAAGGAGGTCATTGAAGAATCAGATATAAAGATATCCTCCATATTGTCTTACGCAAAGTCCACACTGAGTGACAAACGCTTGCAAAATTATACAAAATACTTTAAGGTAAGTGAAGCAACGATCTTTTTTAAAAGTAATTTTTCCTACTTTGTCTTTATAAAGTAGCAAGAAGCAAGAAAGTACTAAGAACTTTTTTTCTTGAGGTAGATAATCAAATAACTTTACCCAACTTGGGTGAGGCGAGTGAGTGTCAGTCTCAATGACTAAAAACCACCCCGTTCCTACCTCTGCTTTGAACCGGAGCCCCGCGGACGGTTGTGAAGTAGCGAGGCGCCTACAAGTGAAAGTTTGTCCATGGTTCAGTTTGTAGTAATAGGCTCTCTATACCAACTAATTGTTCTCTAAATAAATAAGTTCATATTCACCTATCCCTTCGTGAATTAAAAAGCGTGACGGTTTCAGCATGTAATCATGTAAAAATATTCCTAATAACTATCGTGAGACATACTAAATTAAAAAAACGCTGGTTACTCACGTGAATATACTGAGAAAAGCGATACTAGTTTGAACCACAGAGGGGTTCTTCCTCATGAGCAGCGTGCGCGGTCGCGGCGACATCGCACCGCTCACTGTGCACGTCGTGCCCTCTGTGGTTCGAAACTAGTAGAGCTTTTCTCAGTATATTCATGTGAGTAACCCGCGTTTTTACTTAAAAAATATTCCTGTTGCAACCTGTAACAGATCTGTACCTACCCCCACCCACGACAAAATCAATCATTGGTACTACGTGCGCAAAGTGATATCTAGTCTTTAAAAAGGCGTAGGCCAGTATAAAGCATTCTATTTCTGTACTAGAAGTTTTCCAATAACTAGAACGAGCGAGGAAACATACTCCGTACCACATTGCTACAAAACTTTCTCATATATTATGTTGTTCTCTTAATCACTTATTAAATAGGCAGTAAACAGGAGCAGCCATACTTTCTCTCTCCGGCGTATTTCCTCATCATCATCATCAACAGCCTATAAATGCCCACTGCTGAGCAAAGCCTCTTCTCACACGGAGAAGGTTAGAGCATTAATCACCACGCTTGCTCAATGCGGGTTGGCGATTTCAAACTTATAATTAGAAATTATAAGTCCAGGTTTCCTCACGATGTTTTTCCTTCACCGTTTGTCAGTGGTGTCTAAATAATCTTAGAAAGTACATATAACTCGGAAAAAGTCAGATTGGTACTTGCCGTTGGTAGGTTTCGAACCCGCACCCTCATGCATGAGAAGTGGGCGTCTTAAACCTCCGGGCCACCACGACAATTCCTCCGGGCCACCACGACAATTTTACGCGTATTTCCTAACTAGTTTGAAGCCAATCGGTAATGAGTTCCATTTATGCCAGTCCAGTAAATAGCTACACCACCTAAAGATTTGTATTATTGGTTCGATTTGTTTGGACTATTGATGAACTACTGGACCAGCAACTATCATATAACAAATATGTTAGATAAACATTAATCTACATATTATAGTATTCTAAGGGCCGATTTTTCCAACACCAGCTTTTTAACTGAGGAATAACTTCGAATAGGTATTTGACAATACCTCCATAGTAAAAAGAACTGTCAAATGTCAATTTTATTCAACAGTTCTGAATTTTCTAATGATTGAAAAATCGACCGTAAGTAAGTAAGTATAAGTACCAACTGTTTAGGACATACAACAATTAAGCCCTATGTCTCTTGAAGGGTTGGACAGAGTAGCATTTATTGCATAATACTTCCACTTTCTGCTCTCAAGCTACAAGTAATTCTGAACACCTTGGTGCTATGAATGATGAACGAGAAGTTACATTTCTAAATTCCCTCATCTCATTACGTGTTGTTACCCAAGATCTTTATGTAGGTACACTTAACACTATTGAAGCAGTATATTCGAGGCTAAAGTCAAAATTTGTATAGTAATGAAATCATTTTTGTCAAACGAAAGCTGAAGTAAAATAGACCTAAAGACAATTAGGAAAAAATCGCAAATTACGGCCCACAAGCTACATTGTAAAAGTCAAGTAGAGAATGCAGACGTTTCTAACTAGACTTTTTAATCCAATATTCTCGGAAAGTGGTCATAATGATGCGGCGTTCTCATTTAAAGTACGTACCGTGTCAATAATAATTAATTTCCGAGCCACCGCATCGCTGTAATTATTATTGCATGGGGCTATAGCTATGCAGTATCGTGAGATATGCAAGCAAACATAGCATGGTATGCACGGCTCGGGGGCGACGTCGCGTGCCTCGCATCCCCCGCTACCAACATAAGTTTAATATATATGTGAGTGGAACGCGGGATGTCGATGTACGAATCTATCATAACTCACAATCATCCAACGAAATGTATTGGTAAACAAAATTATTTATTCGCAAAATTGTTTTAATATTTATTCTGTCATCCGGAGCGGAGACCAATTTCAAAAGAGATCGTGGAAACTGAATGAGACGCGACTTTGTTTTATTTAGTTAGTTTTAACCGTCTCAAGTACCTTTCTACGTCGTCGCATGGCAATCAACATGCTGTACATACAGAGAATTAGTATGTTGTACATATTTGAAAGTAAGTCTTATGAGTAAACAAGTAAATTAAACTTTGGTGAAAAAACGAATACTAATCCTTAATTATTTTTCAATAATGAATACAAAGCCACAGCTACCCGTTCGGAAGGTGCACTAAAAGAGCTCAGTTTTGTCGTTTCCAAACGTTGGCGAAAATCACTTTAAGCTCCTGCCAAACAAATTCCACCAAAATTTTACTGCACTTTGTTTGTTTTGCGGATCGACTTAGTTCACCAGTTTGGCTAACAAAAATAAAATGTAGGTATTATGTAGTTTGAGCTTCACATCGGTGCATTGATATAGGTACCTAAAAGAAAACGGCAGTATATTAACCGATAGTGTTTTTAAAACTGTATTCTCGTGTAGTGTTACTTTGAAATAATTTTTGACTGTCAATAATAAACTGTTGAAGGCAAATCTTCCGCTAACGCCGGTCACCGGTGACCCCCATGGCGTTTAACGTGTTACGCACTAACTGATAAGGTAAATGCAGGAGGTCCATAGCAGCAGATATTCCTTCTATTGAAGGTTCTTCGGTCATATGAGTGTCACTTAATGCCAAAATTAATAAATCCATAAAGTCACTAAGTCGTAAGGACAAACTGTAATCAAAAGCCATTTTTTGTACCTTGATACCAAAGCAAAAAATGTTTTAACTTTGATAACACTTTGACTGTCTTGACCCTACTTCTATAGAATTTCCGCAAAAATCTCAGATCGATCCAAATATTTGGCATTAGGTAGTAACTATTTATCGATTATTAATTTCTATAAATATAAAAATGTTACTCGTTTACAAGATACAGAACCATTGTACATTTTTCTTTTTCTGTGAATGTGCCACGGTGTAGTCGTGTGCCCCATTTCGCGCGGAGCCTGCCTGTAGCAATTGTTACTCTTGCTAGCTTGCTACGTGGTTAATCCCACAATATCTACCTTGGCACTTGTCTTACATTATCTGTGGCCGCCACCTGTCGACATTTCTGATGTAGGATTTACCCAATTTTTATTCTGTTTTAATTTTAAGCTTTATATTAGGAGTTAGTCTACCCTTGTAGCTACTTATCACAGTAGGCTAAAGTAGAGTTGGTCCCTACTTACTGTACTGGTAGCTAGCTATGATGTGGCATGTTTCGTCTATTCAATTTAGTCTTGACGTGAATAGTAGGCAATGGTATAAAACTTTCACAGTTATAGGTTACAATACTCAGGTTCCTACCGAGCGTCTAAAATCGCATGGTTTGGTGCTACAACTACATTTAATAAATTGTAAGTTGACTTCCAGGTACCCTATCTTCGAAAACTATTTAGAAGCGAAGGTGCAATAAATGAATCGTGTTATTTATTTTTTAGAGCAAGGGCGTCGGTGTTATTAACGCAGCCGCCACGGGTATGGGTCTGCTGTCGAACCACGGCCCGCAAAGATGGCACCCCGCTAGCGATGACATCAAAGCTATTTGTAAGAAAGCCTCCGACTATTGCAAGGTACTTATTACGCAATTGGAAGCACTAACACTTGTAGAGGTTAAAGGAAAATAACGAGGAATAATTTACTGTATAATCTAAAATTTAAATGATGCCTACATATTTGGCTTATGATATTTTTCGAATGGAAAATACTTACGTTAAATATCCGCAAATAAAATAAAATAAAAAAAACGCATAAAACATTTTAAAATAAACCCTGTTTTATAACAGTCACATTTTATTCGGATTTGACAGCCGGAATAGTCATAATAAAGACTAACACAATGAAATAGATAAGCATACCAAAAACACGACTGAGTTACCGGTAGCCAATAAAAAATAACAGTTTAACAACATCGGGATAATGTTTGCAATCGCATGTACACTGGTACCTTAGTGCAATTTTCACATTAAGCCCTCGGCTCCACACCATAGTGTCCATTTGGTTTTTATTGAATTATAGCGGCCGCGGCAGTTTCCGACGAAAGTATCAACTGTTTTCGACACCCGGTTTTCAAGCCACAAAAATATTTGTCCAATATGAAAGGACGAGGATTTAGGATTGCCTAAGGTTTTAACTGGAATAGCCTGTACTGTACTTATTGACAAAACGGGGAGACGCGGTTGTTTGTTTGCGACTGCTGCCGCGAGCAAATAACTATAAGAGTACTGTGCACGAGGTACGACCCTATTTCAAGATTCGACTACTCTAAGAAGAGTCTACTTCGACTTTAAATGAATAACTTAGAGCATGTAAGTAACTACATATTTACTTAATATGAGCTCTTATAGTAAGAGCACCGTCAAAGGTAGATAGCTTTTTATTTCGTTTTTAAACGAATTTCATATTTACCTCTCGAGCATTACCTACACAAAAAATTTCCACGTAGGTACGTTATGTATGATGCGTTGCTCACAGATTCTTTAATGGATATTTAAAATATGGATGCAAGTGAGTGTCAGACACAAATGGATTTTCTGTACGCGATATTTAATTACATCATAAATAATGGCTGTGTTTTTACGTAGTTAAAGGCATATCTACATAAAATTAATTAATATGGTAGGTTCCTATTATTATACGCTATACGCGCATTACGACTTGCGAGGCACCGGGCCGAAGATCATTCGAAGTCCTTTGTCCTTCGTGAAAAGTTGTGATGTGAAAGTAGGTCTAGTTGTACCTATAGTTCAGGTAATTTTTAAGTTTCACATGAAACGATAAAATTGTACCGAATAAATAAAACTTGAGTTTGAAACATGGTGATTCCCGAGCGATAGACGAGCAGCATATCCAACGCGTCCCGAACTGACCCGAGTGCGGATTAAATGACCGATCTTACAAGTGTTTCGATTTAAGGCTGCGCGGCGGGATATTCAGGTAGATCAGATACCTACCACTTACCTACATATGACCTTGTTAAATTATTTGAATAAATGAATTAGTTAGTTAACTGACTTCTTTTATTACCGTTATGTTATTGCGTGAATAAATAATAAAAAATCCAAATCAAACGATTAAAATAAAATATTTCAGTGTAGTTTAAAAATCTATTTTATGCGCTTGAGTTGTGGCGCGTGGCCCCGGGCGGTTTCCCGCGGGCTATCATGCTATGGCCCACAGCGTAAACGCGTTAAGTAATTGAATAAACTTCAAAAAAATAAAGAATATGGATCAACCATGATGAAAACGGTTTCAAATTAAGAATTCAATTGATTTTATTGTTGTGAGTAAGGAAAGGACAGATGTTAGATTACTGAAAAGTAACAATGAGTCAGCTGCCGGCGCTTCAGTTCGTTTTTTCGAAAGCTATTCAGATGTTTCACATTAATCACCTAAGCAAACATGTGCAAAAGTGTTGGCCATAGTTTTATTGGTACGAATCACAATAAGTAATTAACAATCTCAACCCATATGTGATGAGAGTTCAGTCATCATATTACACGCAGATGCTTGACGTAGCAGATGAAGAGGGATCTCGCTTCGTAATTGTGTCTGTAGGACACTTGCGATGGCGGGGACAGCTTTTAGTTCTTTTTAATTCAGTCCTATGAAATCATGAATGGATTTTCAAATAATGATTGTGCTTAGTATTGTTAATAGGTTGCGGTCACCGGTGTCCTCGCGGTGTTTGACAGTTTAAGTATGGGTGTATGTAAAAACTTATTTTTTTATGTTTGATGCTCCGACGTTTGGGGAGCAATAATGCAGACTACGATAGAGCACGTCTGCCCATAACCAAACCAATTCACTCGGACCTTGAAGACATTCGTTTTTTGTTGCTCATATTTAGAACTGACAAATACAAACAACATAATAATTATCCCAGTTTTCTAGCATCATCTAATAGAAGTTGACATTTAAATGATAATTGTTAGGTACGGTAAAATGGGGTGAATAGGGATCGAGATGTGAATAGGGACTGAAGAGAGGTGAATTGATACTAAGAAAAATTTCTTAATTCACCCCTCTTCTGTCTCTATTCACCTCTCGATCCCTATCCACCCCATTTTATGGTACCTTACCTTTTACCTACATAGATATCTATAATCAAATGAAACCAACAAGACCTGCAAAGAGATCGTCTTCCATATTTCCAGAAGAAACGCTGACGAATTAATTCTTTTAATCCTATTCTAGGAGCAGAACGTCGAGTTAGCTCGCCTGGCGACCTGGTTCACGCTTAATCAACCTGACATTGACACAAATATATGTGGATTCTACAATATTGAGCAGCTAAGGGACACAGTTGACGTCCTCGATAATGGCTTGACTGAACATGAACAACGAGTACTACACGACGTCCAATTAAGGCGAGTACCTATACCTATAGCCTGTAGGCACTGCTGGAAATACACCGTCATAATCCGATCCGCTATTTAGGTCAGCTTTTAAAAAAAACCTAGCTTTTCATTATAATGGGCACGTATTATAAAGACAGGTAGTACTAATTATCAATTCTCAATGTTAGGTGTGTGTAATCCCCTGATTGATCACTACAATTATGAAGGCAAAGGTCTGAAGAATGTGCTTGTGCAGTGTGCACAACCGTGTAACAATTTAGTACCAATACAATAAGATTATTCTAATGCAAATGGCTGTAGGCACCCTAATAAGAAGAGTACTCCAAAGGCATTTGCGCACAAGAATTGATAGTTTCCTAATAAAGGCGACTAATAAATTTCTACCCATCCAGGACAAAGCCAAAATTCTTATTAATACAAAGAATTTTATAAATGAAATGGGGGAACTGACACCGACACCATAGGTAGATATTGTACGTACGATATTGACTATGAATTATTAGACAATCCAATCATTCCAGCTTCGCAACTTAAAAGGCAAGGATAACTATTATTCCCATAAAATAGTTTTTAACAAAGAATACGTAAGACGGAACGAAGAAAAACTTATTTGAATGGTTAAATAAACTTAATAAAATTTAAGTTGAAACTCGTTCGGATGAAGTTCGGTGTCAGACTACTGTTTCAACGTTTACTGACAATGAAACGAGTCAGAGGCAGGTGGAAACTGCAATTTAATCAAACTATGAATTAACCTTACGAATGAATAATGAATAATATGAACAACGGGACACTTACGTGAAATAATTTAAAAATCCTTCTCAAGTGGACACTGCATTTGAAATGCGTACCTATACCTCAATTAATAAAAGCCTTCAAGGATTATCCAAATATAAATTCAAAAGAGAAAAATATACCGGTATCTTTTTAAAAATGTACGGACAAAGACTCCAGTGAAGCAGTAAACAAAACCTCCATAAGAGAAACGTACAAATGAAATAACAAGCAACTTGCAAATTGCAATCCGAAGTCAATATTCCCTCGAAACAATGTAAATATTAAGAACCAACTTCCAATTGAAACTTCCATAAAAATTGTTCCACATTCGACCTAATGGTACTTGCTAGATAATTAACGGGATGCCTCGGGATATGCTTCTAACCTATGAGCACCTATGGTATTTACCTACCTATCGTAACTTAGGTATATCGGTAAAATGATAAGATGAACCATTTCGGAACTACTAGCGCAATCTAGATTCAAGCTTAGAGAAGCCTGCGACGTAGGACTAGGCATTATGCACTGGACCACGGTCTTAGGGTTCATTTTAGTTACCCTACAGTAATGTAGATGGCGCAATATATGCACGTTTCAACGGGCTGCCAACTTTACAACAAAAATTTTTGGCGCCAATATGCAAAAGACACTTTATCACTTATCCTTTACAAATAGTAAAAAATAGTAGTACTTGCTTTGCAGATTTAGTACTAGGTATTGAAACTTGATACGAAATGAAAGGCCCACAATTGGCTAAATTACTTTTAATGAGGGTGAACCCGTTAGCAGGAGCTAGGTAGTCCAAAATTAATCCTTGTGATTTAACTCCTAATTTTTACTTGACGAGAAAAAAAGATACCTAAGTAAATAGCTGACGGTGAAATGTAAAACATACCTCCTCCTTTTTTTTAATCGGTAAATAAAGTAGAATTAATTCAGTACCTAATGACTTTGTTCTTACAGGTTCTTCGACAATGTGACTCTGCACTGGGACAACGTAGAATTGCCAGTTTACAAAGCTAAGTTAAATGCTATTCAGAACAGGTGAACTTAAAACTAGCATTTATTTGATGATCGGATAATATTCATATAAATCTTATGACCAAAAAATGTAATTTGATTCAATAATAATAAATATCATGTGTTTTATACTTCTTTTTTTAAATATACTAATCAACTCGATTAAACGTCTACGATGAACTTTTTTCTTTAACTTTAAAAAAGCATCTGGCTTTTTTGTGAGAAATACTAGCGAGTGTAGGCTTTTGCCTAACTAAAACCACCCCACTGGCCACCCTCAGTACCTGTATCGAGTCCTCCATGTATCTGCTTCGGAGCCCCCACAATGCAACGCCTATTACGGTACATCGCTAGACATTGAGTCGTATGATGTGTTAGGTATATGTTATCTCTAGGTTAGACCTATAGAAAACTGTTACATATAAGGTCAAGTCCTGACCTACATCAGTCTCATTGGGATATACTTTTGCCAGTCTTTGTTTCCCGAAGGGACCCTGGTTGTCTTCAAAGCCCGAGTGAATAGGTTGCTAATGGGCAAGCGCGCTCCATCATAGGCTACATTATCGATTACCAACAGGCAAGATAGTGGCCAAACGCCAGGCTCAATGCAAAAAATGAAAAGTAGTGTAATGTGTTAGCGAGAAAAATGAAAAAAATATATTTGTTCTTAATTTTCTTGTGGCACTTTTATGGATGGAGTTCATACAGTATAATAAATTACTACTCAAATAAGTATTGTTCTCTAATTTGTAGTTTGCTTATATTTTGCAGATCCGTTTGCCAATCGGCAAAGGCCTCCTTCAACCTTTTCCATTCCTGTCTTTCTTGGGCCGTTCTATTCCACATAACTCCCGCCACCTGTCTGATACGTACAGTACCCGGCCATAAAAAATGCACATTGACTTTTCTATGCCTTTGAATCTTGGATTGGTAGCAACAACTAAACATAGGTACTAATAAAACTATAAGGATTTCAAGTAAATCTATTACAAATGAAAAACCAATCAGTTTACAGTATTTTTATTTCCTTTAAGATTTGCAACGGTATGTATCACACCTCTAACCATACTTGTTTACATGTAACTTTGATACCCAGTGTAACATACACCTTATAGTCTATCTGTTTAGGGAACTAACTAATTTTAAACAATTATATACGAAAAACACAAACAATTTTATCCGAAAAGCAGTTTTAAACCCAATCTGTTAAAGTAACTTTTTCAATGAATTTATTTTAACTGTTCATACAAAAGTTGCGCCAAGATTGCTCTACCTTGAGTTACGTCCAATTTCAATAACCTATCTATCTGTAGATTTGCTTACTATCTGTCTCTAGTAAGCAAATCTACGGATAGATAGGATATTGAAACTGGCTGTAAGCCGACAGAGTATGGGTACACAACAGTTAACAAAATTTTGCTTATAACATATCGACTAGGTTAATATTGCAAGACAGCAACCTGTATGGAATCAAGCAGATAATGTAGAACTGTAGACTAATATTTATACAAAACTGTGAATTGATATACCTAATGTTCCTAAAATGGTATTTAAACCATCTTCTGGTAAATCAAAGCAAGGTCTATGAGGACGAAATTTTTGTCAGCTACAGGGATTAGACAAACAGGAGCTTAAAACTACGCCAGCGCTATCTGGTGAGCAACAAAAACTAAAGTTTTGATAAGTTTATGAGATTTTGCGTCTTAAATATATGATATATTAATATTTCCTGTTAAGATATGGCAAACAATCTTATACTATTATATAAAGCGGAAGAGTTTGTTTTTTTGTTTGAACGCGCTAATCTCCGTAACTACAAGTCTGATTTAAATAATTCTTTTTGTGTTGGATAGTCCATTCATCAGGGAAGGCTATAGGCTACAAAACATCACGCTATGACCAATAGGAGCTGAGCAGAGAGTGTGAAACCGGGCGGAAGTAGTTAGTCTTCTAATATCTTTGAAATATGCTAAATTATTATAAATCTGTACTATTCTACACAAAATTAAATAAGTTCGTGTTTGGTGTAATATAGTCTATGCAGTACCTGGCAATAATTACTGCACATTGAATTTTGGAAAGAGACGATTATGTGTGTGGTCATCTTTGTATACTGAACTCCTGTTTCTAAAATACAAAACTGTAACTTTGAGTGGGAAACGCTAGTCTAATGTTGTTTGCAATAATTTACTGATATCAATTTTGAACTTTAAACCTTTGAACATAAGTACTAATTTAAATTGTTCATTACAATATTTCGTAAACTGTGCTGTGTTTTATGCAAACAATTATTTTAAGAGTCAACTCAATGGTTCTATGGTTGTTCAAATAAATAACAAGATATCTATTAATATATTATTATGTAAAACTGACACATAATATAGTACTTTAAAAATACAATAAACACAACATAACATAATATCACGCCATCTCCCTGGAGGGTAGGCATATGTACATGATCAATGTAACTTATACTTTATAAGTCCTATGTAACAGGAAAAAATATTGGGTTTTTATAACTAGCAAACAAACAAGAAGAAAACAATAATAAAGTCTTCATATAAAATTGCTAAATAAAAGCACAAATTATTATTAAATGTCAAATACAATATAAGGTATCATTTAAAAAAAAACATGATACACAACTTGATGAGATTCAATAAATACTATAGATTGTTGAGATAAATAATCAAATAACTATCTTATGGATGGAATAGAAATAAACACAACAGAATGAGTACAAAATAATCTACCCTTACCATACTTCTGTGGGCCTAGTACGAGATTTTTACGAGATTGAAAGGAGACCGCGTTCGACGCTCTGATTGGCCGGCTTCAATAAACCGACCAATCAGACCGCCATACGAAAAATAGTCTTGTACTAAGCCCTCAGTATCCATTGTACACAAGCAGTGCAGAAAAACGTAGAAATAAAAATATAATAGTTTTCAGTGAAGTAATTAGAGGCAGATATACATTACCATAAGCATGGAATGTCGTGGCGCCATGGTCAACTATGGCTGCAAGCATTTGGCGGCCCACGCGACACAATAACACAAGTGTGTTTCTAACTACAGTACGTATTATTAGTCTAAGAGCTACTGAACCCACCAAATAAAGTACGTCTTGTAAGCCTAGAAATTTCTAGGATCATGATTCAGAAGTTGCTAATGGCAATAGCCATGACCTAGCAGTATCTTTTTAAAGATGTTTGTCACCACAAAATGTTTTTCACCAAATAATCATAGTTTCATTTTGTATAATCTTTCAGCGCATTCAACGGTCAGTTTATACTGGTTACGGTTCATTTGGAGAGTTCAGTAGCAGCTCTAAGACTATATGGAAACCGACAAGCTACTGACGCGCCTCGATAATGTATTTCTGCCATAAGACTGAACAAATAGTTTCCATTGAAATAAATAATGGCTGGCGGCCACAGCGCCGTATACAAAGAAATGTAATGATTACTTAAACAATATTATTTAGTAACGATTTTGAATCTAATAACAACGTTCTACTGTATTTTTGTTCACTAGAGGGGCTAGTGGGCTCTCGTATTTCGTCCAATAGGGAAATAGCGAGTGTGTCATCATTGGACGTTCAATTTTTGACAGCTGCAGTGATTAGACAAAAAGGCTTTTTGCTAGATTAGAGCCATCTGGTGAGGTAACAGTAAGCTAAGACAGCCCTTAGATTATGTTGTTTAAGTAACCATTACCTAAATGAATACGGCGGTTGGACACGTTTTACTGAAATATGTCACATCTAATATAAGTAAAAGTTGTACTTAAATAAAATATTATACAATCATGATTAATTATAAATTACTGAAAAAAGTTAAACTTAAACCTAAATCACACATTGAAATCTCATTTCGGGTTAGTTCGAATAAAAATAAAATAATATAGTCTCCAAATAGGGAATGATCAAATTACTAACCCTGTATACAAAATAAATTCATTTTTAATAAAATTTGGAATTTTCAAAAATTATCATACGATTTTTTTCGCTGATAAAAATATTACGTAGGTATAGATTCTTTATAAAATATACATTAAACTAACTCCTCTTTTTGGTGTAATATCTTAAAACTAATTTAACGTAAATGTTAAGAAAATTATTACTTACAAATACGCTTTTGCCAGCAAGATTATGATTAAATAAGCAAAAAAAATAATTATAACTGTACAATGCCCATTAAATATGTGATACTGTATTTTGAACTTTATAGGAATACAATAAAGATGCAAATGTGTTGTCGTTTAGTGGTTGTGGGTACAATCGAAAAAGTTGGCGGTCGACCATCATGCAATGGGCGCGAGCGATCATAGGAGAAACGCCTGATGGATAGCGAGATTGCTGCAGGATTTTGTTTAAAAACTGTACTACTAAACTTTGTCGATGGTACGTTATTAAATGAGTAAGTAATGCACAAAAAAATATGTACAGCGATATTGTAACAAGTCAATATTTAATTAACCTAAGTCAAAATAACAAGTTTATAAAAGAAATTGATTCTCACTTAATATACAAAAATATCTAGTCTGGTAGTGTGTTCTCAGATGAAACGAAACCTGGTGCTGAAATAATTGGTGCTGACATAACTAGGTATATTGTAAGTACCTTGTAAGATATATATAAATTATAAATCAAATAGGTTATGGATACCGCTTTCGTGACCGAAGGGAACAAATTGACTAATGGTAGGCCAATATATACCTATATAAAAAACTAAACACCATTCCATTCTCTGCCAAGCATCGATACAAATGCATATTTAGAATAGTTCGAAAGTTCTGAAATCATTCATGCGTTTGTTCATATTTAAAGCAAAACAGACAGTGTTATGTTACGTTATGTATTATCGACTTTACTACTAAAACAACAAGGTTTAATCTATAAAATAATACAGTTTAACGTCCATATTCGAAGTAAATCAAGTTTGTTCATCTTATATTATCAGTAGAGATAATATTATTAGCAGGTAAAATATATATAATAATAATTATCGTGACGTAACCTAGATAA